ATTAGGAGTATTTATAAACTGATTTTGGGGGTTAGAAGAGATATAAAGGGATTTGTTAGGAGTAAGGCCGATATCTCGGGTTTGGGAGGATTAAGAGTGATATTATGCTATTTGGCTGCATTAAGATGGAGATCAGCCAATTTGGATGGATATCAATAAATTTTTATCTCTTTATATCTTCACTTTAAATCACTTTATATCATTAATCAACGATTGTCCACTGACGCATTGAAAGAAATTAGTCTTTCCAAGCTACAACACATACCAGAAGATAAGTATTTTTTGGCGAAAACCAATTAACCTTTAATTAATTCCCAATTTTAATACCAATCGAGAACAATTTCCAAAGAATAAATATTTATTTATAAAATATATTAATTTTACAAAGAAAAGGGTTAAAGAGAACTAAAAGGACTTAGAAGAACTAAGAAGAACTTTAAAGAACTGATATAATTGTAAGATAGGGGCTTTTATACAAACAGAAAAAGGTGTATATTTTAAGAGAGAGAAGAGAACGGAAGTGCTCGGGAAAGAGCAAAGTGACTAATAGTGTCACTTTGCCGTCTATAAAGGTCCGTGAGCCGTCTATAAAGGTAAAAACCGCCAAACAAAAACTGTTTAACACGTTATACAATTTGTATTTTTCGATTTATATCCAATAAATCAAATAAAAACTTGCCCTTTTATTTGATTATATCAAAATAAAATTATATTATTTTATCGGCTTCCTTTAAACTGGGCAATAAAAAAGTGACCTTTAATTTTTCCCCCCTTATCTGAGATAAATATATGTATTTTATTTTTTTGAATGGAAAGTGTTAGGGTGGCGCGCTTAGTATAAAAGGCGAAGCCTTTTAGTAGTCGGGGTGTTAGTCTTGTGTTAGTCTTGTCTTAGTCTTGTGTTAGTCTTGTGTGAGTCCGAGTTAGTCCAGAGTCGCCAGCTAGTCAGTCTTAGTCCGTAGTCAAGCTAGTATTCTACTCCAGCGCATAGTCTCGTCATTTCTATTGTATTGTTAACTTTGTGATAAACCTTTGTTTGTTAGTCAAGTCTTGTTCTGTTAGTATCGGACACACCGCAAGTCGATACATAACAGAAAGTGCATATTTTGAAATACCACAAAATTTTTTGCCTATTTTTATTTTTTTAATTTTATTTTATAATAAAAGAATGCTTGTTGTACATGCGTTTATTATAAAAGGCCTAGGGTTTTTTTTTCAAAAATAAAAGTTTTTAAACTTTGATTTTAATTTAAATTTGTAAATTTATTTTTTTAATATATTAAAATTGAAAAAACTTTAAAATTTTTAATTTAGTCTTGATTTTTTGGTACTATGCGTTTATATCCCCGCAATTACGCAAATGTTTGTCCGCACTTTTTTCATTCTTTCTCTTTATAAATATTAGAAACGGTCAAGTTAACCCCTTTTTTCTTCTTCTTCTTTCTCCTCTCATAAAGATTAAAATGTTCAAGTAAAAATAGACTTTTTTATTCGAAATGTTCATAGGCACGTATTTCGATCCAATCAAATCAGAAAAATGTGGGTGGGTGGCTTACCGAAATAATTTCTAAGCATTCTCTTATTTTTACCTTTATATTTTTCAATAAGTGAATATTTGTCTTCCTTCATTTTACTTGAACATTTTAATCTTTGGGAGAGGAGAAAGGCAAAGAAAAAATGGGAGTTAACTTGACCGTTTCTAATCCTCTATGAGGAGAAAGATGAAAAAAGTGCGGACAAACATTTGCGAAATTGCAGGGATATAAACGCATAGTCTTGATTTTTTAAAATTTTCTCCTGCCCTAACAATTGAATTTTTGTTCCTAAGGCTTTCCAAATTCTAAAAAATTTGCCTTCGGCGCAGAAAAATAATTTTAGTTTAAGAGGGATATCATGAGATTGATTGAAGAGATATCGGAGGATTAAGGGGTTTAAGAGGGATATCAGGGAATTAATTGAGATTTGAAGTAATATCAGAGAAATAAGATGACTTAGAGGGATTAAAGGGAGCCTACCCGTTTTCACTTCTTCCATTATCTTACTCCTTCTATAAATGAGAAGGAGTAAGCAGAGCTGTTTCGAAATTTCGATTTTCGTTTTTCGATTTTCGAGGTTTTTTTCCTTTCAATTTTCGATTTCCGATTTTCGAATTTTTGAAAAAATTTGAATTTTTGGCGGCAAAAAGTAGGAATTCTGACTTATCGGCCATCATAAATTAAAAAATTTTCGCCTGCGTCGCAGAAAAAGGAAGATTTTTGGCTTAAGGATCCTCCAAAATTTATTTTTCATTTTTCATTAAAAAAATTTTTTTTCGATTTTCATTTTTCGATTTTCGAGGTTATTTTTCTTTCGATTTCCGATTTCGAAGATTTTAAAAAATATTTTCGATTTCGATATTTTTGGATTTATTTCGATTTTCGATTTTCGAAGATTTTTTTGTTTCGAAACACCTCTGGGAGTAAGATTTAAAAATGTGAAGAATTAATTGTCATTTTGCGAAAATTCAGAAAATATTTGTTTCAATTTTATTTGATTAGATTAATTAATTAATTAAAATATCCTTTTTAAATATTTATTTCATATTAAAATTAGAAATTAAATGATTCTATACGCTTTAATGTAAATTTAATAATGGAAGGAGTGAAAACGGGTAGTAAGATTAATTTGGATTTCAGGAAAAAGAAATTAATTCTGGAAAAAAGAAATTAATTCTAGAAAACCAGAAAAAATAAAATTGATTTCTTCTTCCAGCGCCTCAAGCGTAAATTTTGAAGGTAAAGTAGCCAGTTTTCTTCGCAGTTTCTTACCTCGCAGCAGCCCTATCCCGCCCCCAAAAAACAATGGGAATTCTACTGAAGATGCTGGTTCGCTCCCAGCCGCCGATTAACCTTTTGCACTATCTAAAGGAGAGAAATAGCTATAGCCCAGCTGCTTTACTATTCTTTTATGTATTAAAATAAAAAATTAAACTATATTCTTTTTATGAATTTCAAAATATGCACTTTCACTTTAAAGAAAAAATCGAATATAAGTATCTCAGACAAATAAATGAGATTAAAGGAAATTGCCGAGTTCAAAGTTTTTTATAATGCCGACTTTAAAGGAAGCCGATAAAATAATATATATTTTTATTTTGAAATAAACAAGTAAAAGGGCAAATCTTTCTCGTGGATTAATATAAATATTGGCTATTAATTTTCACTACCATTTTGAAAATAAAAATTGCACTTTAATAAAATTTTGGCTCTGGTCTAGGCTCTTTCATTATCCATTTTTAAATTATCATTATTATTAAATTATTTAAATTATCATTATTATCCATTCTTAAGGCATCGACAAATATCCTTTCTTGTGACTAACTTTCTCTTGACTAACTCTCAAATGCTAAAGCTTTAGATTTGCAGTGGTTTAAGAAAAAACCACTCTGTTTATTTTTCTGGTTTTTAGGTTCATGTTTTCTAATTAATCTGAAATTTTCACAGGATATTTAAATCGCTATTAAACACCATACCCAAAAAATTTTGAAAAAAATTTTCTATTTTTATCGGGGTTTTTATCGGGTTTTTAATAGGTATTATTATTATTATTATATTATTTATTTATTATTATTATTAATATTTATTATTATTATTATTAGTATTATTATTATATTTATATTATTTATTATTTATTATTTATTATTTATTATTTATCGGGTTTTTTAAAATTCAGATGGTTTACTTATAGAAAGGAAATCATGAAAGCCTTTATCTCATGATAAGTATCGAGGCCTTTAAACAACTTTATAATCTTACCATAATTAAAATAAATATTTTTTTAATTTTATTTAATTAAAATTTTGAAATTTCCAGTCATTCAAAATGTTAAAATCATTCAAAACTATTCTCTTTTTAACATTTACTCAATTTTTAACTTCAAGTTCAAGTGGTGCTGGTTCTTCAAGTTCAGGGCACGTTGGACGTAGTAAAGCATCGGGTTCAGGAGTTGTTGGAACTTCGGTTTTCGGACCTCAACTTGAAGAACGTCAAAATATTATTAATAGTTTATTTGAAGAAAATCACCCGACAGCTTTTAACGAGTATAAAAAATATTTGGGTTGCTTTAACGTGATGACAGATATTTCTCCAAGGGAGTTTCGTGATCTATATGAAAAGGTTCAACTAATTTTATAAATTTTTATATAGTCAAATCTTTTTTTAACATCAACCCAAGGGTTCGTGATTCCACTAGACTGACGCTTTCACTGGCTTTTATACTATAGCGATACCACTACACAACAGTTCGTTTCTGTATGGGACCGCAGCACTAGTTAAGAGTCCAATGTTTATCTCGGGACAGGGAATAATTCTGAATTTATACCTATACTCAGTTAAGATTTTGGGGATTGTTCAGAAAACTATTTATTAACGACCAGAAAGGAAAATATCTTACTAGGAGATTCAGATTAACTGGGAGTTTCAGAAATTTTTTTAACTACACATTCTAAAATGTAAAAGAATACTAAAATTAATTTAGAAAATTTTAGTATCTCGAATTTCTAGAGCAATTATTAGAAGAAAAAAAGGTAAAGCAAAAAGATGTAAATAAAAAAATAATTGAGATGGTTAATAATGGATCAGCGATTAAGGAACTCAAGCAATTCTGTGAAAAACATGAAGAAAAATTAGTCAATGATATGTTTAAAAAGTGCTTTGTAAGTTTAATAATTTTTATTCATCAAAGTTACAAAGTTTAATTGAATACAGTCAATTACTAATGATAAAACGATAACCAGTAGTTAAGATTTACTACCGTATTTCTTCTAATAAAAGCATGTGTGCTTCAATTTTCGATCCTCTCGAGGTGTGTGCTTCTATTATGTCGAGACTGTGCTTCAATTAAAGACTGTGCTCCTATTCTTTGATACTCTCGTACGATGTGCATATATTAGAGACTGTGCTTCAAAAAGAGTGCTTCAATTTAAAAAAAATTTTATTTCATTATAGGAAAAAATGAAAAAGATGGTATTTGACAAGGCTGTAGCAAAAAAAGAAACAAAATGTCCAATCTGTGATAAAGATTATAAAGAAGATGAACAAATTGATATGACTAGTTGTGGGCATTTTTACCATACGGATTGTATTCTTAAATGGTTTGAGACGGCCAAAAGTGACTTTAAAAAGTGCCCAACATGTCGCCGTGCTCAACTGAAAAATTTTGTACCTTCAGACATTGATAAATTAAATAAGAAGTTAAAGGAAGTTGGTGTCGAATTTAAGAAAAAAATAAATATTCGATCGAAATTGTCAAATGCTCAGATACAATTACTCATTCAATTAGGCTACTCAATCGAGTAAAAAAATTTTTTTTTAATTAAGAAATTTAAAAAAGAATCGAAAAATCAAAAACACTAGATCCAAAAAACTGAAAATCCATTTACTAAAAAAGTCGGCATAGTTTATCTAACCAAATTTAGCGCCATAACTTTTTCCGATGCTAGGTTTTCTGCTAGAATTCAAATTAAATGCATATTAGAATTCTTTACCACAAAAATAGGCTTACTCCTCCTTCTTGACAATTTTGAGCCATATATCTCGGTCCACAGGCATCTCCGAAAAAAAAAGAGTCATTCGATTCGACCGTGACGAATCGAATGACGTATGTTTCGACACGGTTTAGATGGGCCCTCGACTAAACAACAGCCTAATTTCTTCCTATTTCGCTTCTTTTGTAAATTTTAATATTTGATTCATTTGTTCAAGTCATAATAAAAATTTGATAAGTAGGGATGGACATGACGTGTCTGAAGTATCTTCAAGTTCAAGTGGTGTTGGATCCTCAACTTCAGGAGATTTACATAGGTAAAAGTCACATAAAATTCTCCAAGACTAAGCATACCTTTATGTAAATTTATTACAAGCTTTATAAAGTTAATAAAAAATTACGGTACAAACAACTCTCGTTAAATGTAGTTATATAGGAACTCAATCATACAAAATGTCAAAATCATTCAACTTTCTTCTCTTAACATTTATTCTAATTTAACATTCAAGTCCCAGTGGTGCTGGATCTTCGCGTTCTGGACATGGTGTATATGGTGGATCTTCGAGCTTAAGTGTTGTTGAACCTCCATTTTCAATATCAGAGGCTATGGAACAAAAACGCATTCTTGATTCTTTGCTTAGAGATTATACCAATAAATATGATGATTATGATAGATATGAATTATGTGGGGCTGAGATGGAATATGGTTCTAAACATAATCAAACTAAAATTTCAAAAAAGGTCTTATTTATTAATCTTTTGTATACAGGGTGCGGCATAAGTAACCGGACACATGTTTTCTCTCATAACTTTATTAAAACGAAATCAAATAAAATCAAAATACAATCAGATGATAGAGAATTAAATAAGAAACAAAAATAATCAAGAAGTTTCGAAATGCCCACCCTTGGCTTTGATACAGAGGCGAAGGCGTGAAGAAAAATTTTCGCAAATAGCACGCACCTCTTTGAGTGTAATTAAGTCCCACTCTCGGATGAGAGAGTGGCGCAGAGACTCCAAACTTTTGTGAGGCTTAGCACAGACCCTGGACTCCAAAATTGACCAAACAGAATAATCCATCGGGTTTTTGAGAAAAAAAATTTTACATTAACCAAATTTTTTTACATTTTGTATTTAAAACTAAGGTTGGCCTATCTTGGGCATCAACGGATATTCAGTTTCCGCCATCCTAACCACAAATTTCAAATAAAGAGACCTAAAAATTTCAAGATATAAGAAATTTTCTGATCGGTATATCCGTCTCGTATATATCAAAATAAATTAAAATTATTTCAGTGTAAAGAAATTCTTGAAGAATCATTAAAAAAGGATAAAAATATTTCGAAGAGTCAATTAAAAAAGTTAGTGAATAAAATGATAAGTAATGGGACGGCAGTTAATGAAATCAATAAATACTGTGATAATTCTATGATGAAAATTCTGAACGAACTTCGAAAAAATTGCGGTGTAAGTTTAATATATAGTTTATGTGGGTGCTTTGATTCATAAAGATGTTGTAGAATATGAGATATTTGATATTATATTATTTCATCGGCAGCAGGGATGGGTCTGGTTTACGATTGCGGGTTTTTATATTGAGATTATTTGAAAAAGTGACAGTTTTTTGGCAGTTTGCCGATCAAACATAGGGCTATACAAATACAAAATTATTTGAAAATTGGACCGAAAATAAAGGCCCAGGGTTCTTTTATGTTAGAAACTAACCTACTCCTTATATATTTTTACAAATTAAATTGATATATGAGAAAATGATATATGAGTGATATATTGATATATGAGAAAACCTATCCTTGATCGGCAGATGAGAGTGAAAATTATTGTTAATAAAAAGAAAAAGCTTGCGTTCTTGAATCTATACGTATAAGTGATTGATTCATATCAGGTATCACTCGATATCACGCCACTCGATGTTTTCTTCAAGGTGTAAACAGAATTTTTTCAGCGCCGCATGTGTACTATTTAAAGAAATACGGTATTTTCTGGAAAGTTAAAAATTTCTACCTTTTGAATTGAATAAAAAGATAGCGTTACCAATTTTTAAAATATTAATTTCGTTATAGAAAAAAATGTGGAAGATCGTATTTGACGAAGCTGTAAATAAAGATGAAACAGCATGTCCAATCTGTCTTGGGGATTATAAAGAAGATGAACAAATTGATATGACTAGCTGTGGACATTTTTACCATTCGGATTGTATATTCGAATGGTTTGAAAAAGCCGGAAGTAACTTTGATAAATGTCCAAGTTGCCGTGCTGAATTTGAAATTTATATACATCCAAAAGTTGCTGAGTTAAATGAGAAATTAAAGAAATTTGATCTTGGTTTTGAGATGAAAACAACTGGTCGATTGGAATTGACAGATGCTCAGCTAGAATTTCTCCGACAATCAGGCTATACAATTGAGTGAAAAGTAAAAATTAAAATTAAAAAAGAAACAAAAAATCCAAAAAATAAACAAAATCCAAAAAAACTTTTTTAATTCTATTTAGTATTTTAATTTATTTCTTATTTTCATTCTTTTGTAAATTTGGGGTCGCTTTAGTAAAACAAAAAAATCCAAAAAATCCGTGAAACATTAAAAATCCAAACAAATCAAAAAACCGAAAACCCCAAAATCCAAAAAAATCCCATAATCAAAAAAACACAAAAAATCCAAAAAACCCCAAAAACAAAAAAAACACTAATTTAAAAAACCCCCAAAAACTAAAAATCCAAAAAAAGATTCCCGAAAAAATTTTATTTAATTCTATCTATTTAAAATCTATTTTTTATTCATATTTTCATTCTTTTGTAAATTTTAAATATTTAATCTTTAGTATAAAATATTTCCGGGAATAGTTTTGATAAATATTTAGAGTTTGGTGCTTTGTAGTACTGCCAAAAATATGAAAATATACAAAAAATCTGAAACGTTATTAATGGTTGTGTAGTGGTGTCACTAATGTTTTTGGAGAGATGGATTTGATTTGAAATTGACTATAAAGAGTAATAAATTCAAATAATGTTTCGGGAAAAACTAAAAAAACATTTAAAAAATATTTTATGAGGGAACAGTTTGAATAAAAAGGAAAATAATAATAAAATCTTAAAATCATGGATCCAACACTCCTTTCTCCTTTAAAAGAATGGTCGTTTATATTTTGTTGAGGAATGAATCCCGTGTCCGGACAATGCGTCAGTGGATAATGCGTGAGTGGAAAATGCGTCAGTGGACAATCGGTCAGTATTGATATAAAGTGATTAAAAGTGATGATATAAAGAGATAAAAAATGGTATAAAAAGACTAAAGATGGGATATAAAGAGATTGGGAGTATTTAAAAACGAATTTTGGGGGATTAAAAGAGATATAGAAGGATTTGTTGGGATTAAGGCTGATATCTCAGGTTTGGCAGGATTAACAGAGATATAAAGTTATTCGGTTGGGCTAAAATGGAGATCAGTCGATTTGAAGGGATATCAGTCGATTTTTACCTCTTCATATGATCACTTTTAATCACTTTATATCACCACTGACCGATTGTCCACTGACGCATTTTCCATTCACGCATTGTCCACTGACGCATTGTCCGGGAGCCATGAATCCGACATGCATCGAATTTGGAGAGATTATATTGGGTTTGGGAGATTAGATGGAATCGGGGCGATTAGGAAGGATATCAAGGGAAGTCTCTCCGTTGCCCTTCATATTCTCTATCATCTCCTTAAACACACAAATCACTTTTTAAGCGCTGCTAATGTAAACGCTAATAAATTTTCGATATCAAATCAGGATATCCGATGAATTTCAGTTATTTAAAGATAAAATTAATTTTAAGCAATTAAAAACTTGTATTTAAAATTTTAAAAACTTTAAATTTAAAAAACAGAGAAAGGAACTTATTTAAAAAATTTAATCGAAGAAGAGCTCTAATTATTTCCCAAAATTCCCGAGTTTATACAAGGAAAAATGAAGTATTAAAATTAGGAAATTGTAAATAATTATTTGGAACAAACGGCTGATAACCACGAGGTGTTTGATTATTGGCGTTTGAATTGAAGACTTTTACAATTACAGGTGCAGGTTGTTGCTGAACCTTTGGCTGTTGATGGGAATTTTTTAAATTTTTTGAATAAAAAGTTCGTTGATTATTATTATTGTTAGGTCGAAAATTTTTGAAGGAATTAGAGTCGTTACTCGGTGGTTTAGAAGAGCAAATGCTTGCTTTATCCAGTCTGTCAACAATTTGATCCAGATTTTTTAAAATTCGAACCCCGATTATTTATGGCACCAATTTTTGCCAATCTATCGTGGCATCAATTTGTTTCAACCAAATTTGTAACAAGGGTTAAATTTATTTAATTTACCAAATTTTTACCAATAGATTTCCAAACCAAAATTTAATCAAAATTCATTTTATTTAAAATTTATTCCAAAAGAAAATTTATATTATAATATTGGGTTAAAAACAAATTGAGAGAGAAGATATTAATGAAGCAAGGAATAAGCTTAATATAACAATAATGTAAAGGTTTAGATAAGGCTAAAAATAGGGTTGATGGAAATGTTAAAGAATATCAAAAAATGTGATGAGTAATTTGAAGATGCAAAAATTTGTAAAAAATATATTTAAAATAATGAATCATAAAAAATAATATTATTTTAATGTTTTAAATAAATTTTCCGGGGAAAAATAGATATATTAAATAGATATACTTATTATAAAAATGCATAAAAAATGGTCGTTTTATGACTATAAATGAATAATAACAGAGATAAAATGGTCTAAAAAAACCTATTTAATTGCTATAAAGATTTTAGTATCTTGATAATTATAGTCGCCGCTTCGTTACAGCAACCAGATTTTTGAAACTTTTAACCTCGTATAAGTTCCGATTTTTCAATAACAAAAATTCTAATCTATAGTGAAGTCTGTTTTTATTAATCACCATAAATGACACCTTTCTTCTGGTATTCTATACATTTTATCACCCGGTTGGCAGTTAAAAGCATCAAAAAATTCTTGTAAATTAGACAATGCTACATTTACACGTGCTCTGTCAGGCGAGTGATTATCATCAGATAACAAATATTTTGTCTGGGAAGTATACTCAACTGAGCACCAACCCTGAAAAATTTCAACTAGTTAACTTTAATAAAAACATTATTTTAGGGTGAGGTTATAGTTATGTAGAGCATGGTATAGTGAATTTTAAAGTACATTATTTATGGTAAATTTTACTCCTCTTTCGCCCTATTTTCTACCTATTTTTTAAATTGGGCTTATCTCGCCAAATTTTACCATTTTGTAATATTTTGGCATTCTGTAAATGATTTGGGAGTAATGTCTTCCAAAAATTTCTTATCGTGTGCTTGTCGACTATCGAAAGCTCAGACCAACCCTGTACATAATTAACTTACAAAAGCATAGGTAGCGAAAAAAAGTTGTTCATCAGTCATAAATTCCAACCCATGGACTACTATTTTTGGATCTTCTACTTGACTTTTTCTCGTTTTTAGATAATTTTTAAGCGCCCAATATGCTGATTTTAGACCACCAGCATCTGCTAGGTTTTCACTCAATGTAAATTCACCGTCAACTGGAGATTTAGATTTTTCACCTGTCCTCACCTAATATATAAATAGTCAGTTGAACCTCAATATACGATATGAGGTACGTTTTTAAAAATTTGGTTAGCCACTGGTTCTGTGGGGCTCCATATTTAAGCGGTGGCACGTTTCATGCTCGAGACCATATTTTGGACCATAACTTTTATGATTCCTATCAGATCTAAATAATTATTATATCAAATCGAAAGCTGTCAGACTATATTTAAATGTTACATTCGAATAAATATAAAGGTGTAACTTTTTATAGTATCAACTGATCAACTCAATCTGTTAGCAATGTGGTTCTCACACCCAATGAATTGTCCGAAAATTCAGAAGGAATATAATCGAATAAAAATAACCCATCAGCGGGTTGAATTGTTGCAATCGGTTGTGCTTATGCTCGGATCTCTTACCATGATAGTTCTATTCCATCTCCCATCGACTAAATTTTCCACAGCGTGAATTTATTCAGCAGCTTTCGATTGATATAATAATTACACTAATCGGTTTAGAATCGAATAAGTTATGGCCTAAAATATGGCCGAACTTGAAACGACGATTCTGAAACCTCAGCATTGTATACTGAGGTCTGACTAGGTCTTAAATTTACCAAAAAATGATTATATTGCGTAATAAAACACTGTTTCCTTCTATCATATTCATTCTCCGTCAGTGTTTCCCACCAATCCTCGCTATGCCCATATTCGTTAATTGTCCTTCCGAAATTGTCAAATCCATGGGTAATTTCATGCCCAATAACTACTCCAACGCCACCAAATTTCATTGGAATTGGCATATTCTTTAAATTGATAAAAGCTTTATAATTATTTATTACAGTCTGATCTCATCATAAGATACACCTTTGGGACTGAAAAATAGAAGCTTATGAGGTGTATCTTAAATAAAGTTTCAAAGCTTAAAATACCTCTTTTAAAATAGAGGACATTTATTAATCATTAAAAAGTTATGACATGATAAATATGATAAACATTAAATAATTTTTTATTCAGTGATAAGACTTGATCTAACATGTTGGGGGAAAAATCACACTTAATGAGAGCTTTCGAGTGATATAAGTTAATTCAGCTTAGATCTAAGCTAAAAAGTTATATGTAGTTGATCAGCTTAGGATGGCGCTTAGTTAGCCTTGTTCAGCTCGATGTGCCCTTTGACTCCATCAGTCACTAGTACTAAGCGGATCTTACAACGAGCTCTGACTATTATTAAAACTTTACTGAACTATATCATAAACTGGGAAAAACAAATATCCCGCCAGAACAATGAAAGCATTTAAATAAAAATAATAAATTGCATTTGATGTGAACATTTGGCTATTTTTAATATTTATTTTGTGAAGCATTTTGCGTTCATCGTCGACCAAAACGACTTGATTTACGTATCTCTGCATGGTACAATAGGAAGCAGCAATTTCAATCTCACCAAAACTCATTGTATTACGGTCAATTACATTATAACATCTGAGATTAGATACAAGGTTAAAGACTAATGAACATACGCTTGAAGACTCGAAACGAAATAAACATTGATAACTCGATTAAGGTTGGAGGTTTTGTGTACCCGGGGATTTCCTAGAAACCATTATCCTAAAACAAGATGGGAACTAAAGGATGAGAGTCAAAGGAGTAGAATACTTAAAGCAAAAAATGCCTTTTGAGAATGGCATTTTTGTGGACATATGAATCTCGAGCTGGACATATATCTTTAAATAAATATTTTCTACGGATCTTATCTCTATGTTAATACCGAACAATGTATGTATAAATTTCAGTCTATTTTAAGACTTGACCTTGGTTTTCTCCCCGAAAAATAACGGCAAGACAAATTCTGATGTTGGAGTATGTAAATATTGCTCAGAAAATCTGCAAAAGTGATAGGATCGTATCCCAAAGGTATCCAAACGGATCGTATTCCATGTCCAAAAATTTACGGGTTTAAGGTATCTGCCAACCCTGCCCATCACACTCCCTTTAAACGTCAATAAACCAACTGATTTTCGTTAATAATTCCATCAGTATCCTTAAATTCATCAAAATAACCGGAATATTGCTTCATGATTTCCAATTTTTTGAGAGCTCGTTTTTTGGTTCGTTCATCAATCCACTCCTCAGAAACAATCATTTGACGAAATTGTTCTTTGATTATTAAAATTAAATCCATTATATCAGCTCTTGTCTTTTCTTCAAGGAAAAAGTCGAGAAATAGTCTATCAGCTGCCTTTCCAAAATGCGTAGCAGTTCGCATTATACAATAAGTTTCTATTGGTTCATTATTAAGATTCCAAGTTAATCCTCTAAATTGTTCTTTTAAATTTATAAAAAAGGTACTCGTGTGGAATGAGGGGCCATTTTATTGGGCTTTGATGCAAATGTGATATATGAGATAATATCCGACATGCACTTAACGGGTGATCCCATGAGAGTAATTGATCAAGTCTTATTTGTTTGTAAAGTGTGAACTTAATAACAATAAGATGCTTATGTAAATCCGAACTAATAGCGCCTATCTTCTCGCATTTCTTCAGTTATTTTTCATCTACCTTTTCATACAAGTGATTAGGTTAGAGTTGTAAGTACATGTAACCTTTAATTTCCGGTTAGGCTTCGGATATCCTAAAAATTTTAGACCGCCAACTCTAGATGCCCCTTAGTAGAAAAAGAGAGAAAAAGAAATATAAAGGAATAAAAATGTGTGCCGACAATGCTCCAGGAATGCCAAGAGTTGTGACTGAAGTGGTGCCAATCAACATTAGGTGTGTATTTGGAAGTAAATCCACTTCTACAATGACCCGTATCTACGATACATCTTCATTAAAGTAAGTAAATGCCTTTGTGTGTCTTCAAAAATCCTCACTCTATGCAAATAACAAAAAATAATTTAATTACTTACTCAAATTCCGTCCCATATGCATAAGAATATTTATAAATTATAATACCCATTTCCAAATAACTTCTTATTAGATCAGAATTTTGATTGATATAGTTGAATATATCTTCAAAACATTTAAGACATTTAACAAGAACTGTAGTATCTCCAGTAATATCGGCTTTATATTCATTTAAAAGTGTTGGCCAATCAACATTAGGTGTGTATTTGGCATATATTTCTTGGAGGGTTTTTGTTTCGAATTTACCACTAATTGTCGGATTTCGAAAATTGCCTTAAATTTTAGAAATAATAGTTAGCCTAATAGCCTAATTTGATCAACTCTTAAGGTTCGTCTTTGAATAAACTACAGTAAAAGTCTGGTAAATCTCAAATTCGCCAAATTCTAGCCCCCATTTAAATGGTCTAGCCATCCATAAAAATTGGTTGAATACCATAAATACAGTTCTAGCGGGGTGATGTAAGATCACAAGGATAATTTGTGGTTTACTTATGGCCTAACATGTTCATTAAAGGTCGTTTATCGCCAAGATGGGGAGGGTGTAGTTAGGATGATTCCCAAGGTGTTAAGCTCTTGATTAGATCCTGACTATCAGTTTTACTTAATTTAGCATATCCATGATCTACCCAAAGAGCGAAAACCTTACTAAACGGCAACCTTACTGTCTTATCTACTAGAGTTGGACAGCCAAAAATATTTGTTTAACATAATTACCCATAATCTCGCTGAATTTCTCATTGACCTGAATAATATTACTTATCCACTTTTCAATAGCCTCTCTTTCAGACAATCCTGAAGGTAATATTGCAGCCATTTCCTGTGGATGTTTTCGCGATAATTCTGTCAGAATTAGTCTCATTCCATTAATAGAGGCATCCGTAATTTTACTGCTATGAAGAACAAACTGATATAAGCTTATAGTTTGATCCCTTGCATATTTGCCTGTTGTAGGTGTCGAAATTTCCAGAGTAGTGAATTTATATAAAAGGAATGAAAATGGACTAATGTTTGAAAACATGTAGACTGTCTGAAAAATTAACATTATGAGACTTATGGGCATTATGAGACCAACATCATAAGCAAATATTGGATGATTGGCCCTTATCCATTCAGTATTCAATGTATATTGTGAGCCCATTTTTTGGCGTAGATCGAGTATTTTATCAAGCATTAATTTTGAAATTCTATCATTATTACGAGCAGTTAAATCCTTGCAAGAATCATAATATTCAGTTAATTTTGTAAAAAGAGGATTGGTTTGCAATTTTAGGCGCTTCTTGTTGTCATTTAGAAGTCCTAGAATAACATATAAATAATTTTTATACTACAGTTGGATCTTATAGTAAGATAGACATAATACTAGATACTTCCTCAGCTTATAAAACAATAACACATGGATGTTATAATACCCATGGATATTATGCGTAAGAAACGTGATCCGAATCTAATATCAATAAAAATAAATTTTAAATTCATCATTATTAGCTTTTAAATAGCTGGCGGCGTCAGAAATCTCTGACACCCATTCTACCTTATGAACTTCGGTCAAGACAATTTAAGAGTAATTTCAACTACTAATTGAGCCAGGTAGGATTAAGACTAGTTGGAGGAAATATCATGAAATTTCTCATGCCTTATGTCCGGCTACTGGTTGTGGTAACGCACTTGTGATATCCTCTATTTAGGTTAGACTTCATTACATATTACAATCTTATACCCCAGTGATGTATTTGAAAAAATAAGAAAAGTAAAAAAACAGTAGGCTCGAGTAAGCCCGTATTTACATTTATTAGTTAATTTAAAAGATACCAATCATTAAATTTTTTGCTTCCTTCGCAAGCCTATGATAATGACTTATTTTGCCATCCATTCCAGCAATAAGTTCCAGAGCTTCACTCTTACGAAATCCATCGCAGATATAATCATAAAAATCATCACAAGGACGTATATTTGGATTTATAGAGTTTGACATTGTTGGAAAATTGACAAGTCGGATACGAGGACCTTAAAATTAATTAAGTTAAGTTTTCATGAATCCTGAACCCATTTGAGTTCTTTATAAAAGGATTTGACTTATTTATTGGTGTATATCCGTGCTAGGTGTTGTTATGGAAATTAGGCCTGGGCTCCGACCTTTCAAATCTTGACTCCGTCTCCTGACACAAGAACCTGCTTCTGAACTAGCCTATGATCCATACCCAGCCCTGCTTTACACTTGAACGACCCAGAGTTTTTAAGCCAGTAACGGCACTTGGCATGCTTCCCACTTTGAAAATGCCAAAATTAAATATTTACCAGTTCCAATTTTTTTTTTTTCAATCTTCGCTTTTTTATTCAATTTAGATTTCTTTTCATAATCATTCTCTAAATATTGGTCAAATTTTTTGCAAGTTCCACATGTTAAGGGGCATTCTTTCTTCATAAAATCTCCCCAAATTGTGTCATTACAACGCTCTTTATATTTTTGACATTCAGAAATTCCACTTGGACCAGTATTGTCAAAACATAAATTTGTTTTGATTAAATCACACGTATCACAAGTTCTAGAAATATTATTTAAAGTTATGCAGTTAAGTCCGACAATGAACTCCTAACGGTAATTGTTAGGCGCTCTCGCTACCACAAAATGGAGCTTGGTCCTTTTGGGGTCCTTTTCCGCATTCAATTTTAATAGATCTACCGCTCATTAAAAATTTATAAAGTTAGCCAGCTGCATACCTTTGTTTATTCACCCTTTGTCCTAAAATTTATTTCTATCAACTATAGTTCTAAATTTATGACTTACAAGTACCAGAAATTGACCATAATTGCCCTTTTCTTAATTAAAGGAGAACAATAGACCTGAGCTTCCACCTTCTTGCGCCTTTTTGCGACCTATGATTATCCCAAATATTAAATATCTACCTTGGACATTCTCTAGACATTAAATCTTTATAAAGGGGACGATCACAAAGGTATTTTAACTTTGGACAGTCTGAAGGCCTTCCAGGGGCATTTTTATCTTCACATTTTTGGCCATAACTTATATAAAATAGAAAATAATAAATAAATTTTGAAAATATTTTTATTGAATTTTTTGGAAAAATTTTAGGCATTTTTTATTATTTTATGTTGCAAAATTATATTTATTTTTATAAATATAAGCTACCTTTGTCTTAAGGAGATGAACGGTTTTATTATTAAAGCGAGACGCATTTGGTCAAATATGAGCTTAACAGGGCTTAAAGCTTTTGTTTTCTTCTTTTCTATTGTTAAATAATAATGCAAAAATAATTATAGGAAATTATAATCAAAATTCAACATAAACAACACCCTTGAGCTAGAAAATCGTATTTTATAGTTAGGTATAGGGTTGGGTTGGGGTCATAAGGGCACCAGCACTAGAAACTGACACTTAGGCGACCCCGAAATTTATGAAAATTTTCTTAAATTTCTTTAACATCATTGACTACCTCCTCCAGAAATTTCAGAATTTTTTATCGAATATTTCTGAAGTTATAGTCGATAAACCGCGAAAAATTTGGGTTTTTTCGGAAAATCAACATTTTTGGCCACAATTTCCGAAATTCTTGATCAAAAATTTTGAATTTTTTGGAGAACGTAGTTAAAGTCATGAGAGATATTATTGCAAAATTTTATCTTTTTTGATAAGTAACTCACTGTTTTATAAACTCGCGCCATAATGGCCCCGTGCCCTAATGGCCCCGTTCCATAGGGTTTAGTATAGGGTTTAGTATAGGGTTGAGGAAGAGTGTCTCATTAAAGAGAGATTCTGTCGTATTTTTGAAATATTGGAGATTATTTAGAAGCTATTTGGACTTAAATCGTTGCACTTTAAGTGCCGTTATAGAGGAATTATTACAAAATAGGTACTTATATAATTCTCATCAGACATAAAAATAAAAATAAATTATTTTAAAAAATATTTCAAAATAAGCACTTTGCTTTTAAAAATAAATAAAAAATTAAAAGACAATATTATATTGCACTTTATTCAAAGCCATTTGCCGAGCTTAAAGGAAGGCGATAAAATAAATATTTGTATTTCGAAAAATATAAATAAAAAGGGCATATTTCCCTTTAATAATAACAAAGATTTTCACGTGCTTATTAAATAATATTGGCTATAAATAAACAAAATAGACAGACAGATACAAATACAGGCTTTTATTAAGCCGACTGCTCATATAGTGTAATGCCTGTAGTTATTTAATTCCTGAGGCCGTGCAGGAGGAAGCGTGGTGTAATGGATAAGTTCGGCCAACTGAAGATGCCGTATCACTACCCCCTGTTAGATAGAAAAGTCCGGACATCTGAAAATGCCGGATCACGGCCCGCTGTTAGATAGATAAGTCCGGCCAACTGAAGATGCCGGATCACTACCGCCGCCTAGATAACCTCTGGCAGGCACTAGCCCAGTCCAGCTTTACTACAGTAACCCAACTTCACATTAGAGCTGTATTAGCGATACCTCAAGTTAATATAAACTGATAAGAATATTCGTGATTTTAAGCCCTAAGGGTGTTCATATAATAGTGGCTTTAAACGTTTCTAAAAACGATTGTTTTAAAATTTTTTTATTTGTTTTCTAATTAGCTATTGATAATTAATTTTTCAAAAATGAAAATATTATCAATATTCTTAATTATGTTTTTCGTTTGTTTAACAATTTGTGAAGCCGGCCAAAAGAAAAAGGGTTCAACTAAAAAAGATAAAAGCTCTTCTTCGCAAAATCCAAGCGATGTAAAAGATGGTATGCCTAAGGATCCGATAGTATATAATATTCTTACTCGGAAAATGGATACTTTGAATACATGGACAGGTATGTATTTTATTTAAAATTAAAAACAAAGGTGTTGTTTATGGACTACGAGTCTTAATAGAGTTAATTTTAATTAGAGGGGCCAGCCCTAATTAAGAGAGATGTTGATGAGATGGCGATGAATAGAATAGAATACCCAGAGGTAGTGCAAGCGAGCGGGGTGAATGATTATTGGTTAACCACTTGGTCAGGCTTATAGCCGACCGAACACTAGGCCATTGATTAATAGAGAACTAAGTTGGAATGAACATCAACTAAGCTGCTTTTCCTTATTTTCCTTTAGCTTTTATGCACCTTCTCTCTAGCGGGGTTTTTATTACTTTCTCAAGGATTACACCTTTGATCCTTACAATAGTTAGAGAATGCTAGTACACCTGTAATAATTAAAAGATAATTAAAATCTTTCAGGTTTTACGTCATTGCAACATTATGTTGAGGTTGTTTAATTTAAAATATAATTTATAAAAATTAATCTAAGGCCCCGAAAGAAACGAAGGACTATGATAACATGGTTAATGAAGCAAAGGACAAATTAGCATCTGATATAGGCAATACAATGTTAGCAAGTTTTTGTTTAGATTTGCACTCCGAACAATCCCCCCTAAGGATTTTATTGAATGATACGGGTTCCGAAGCCTTTTCTAGGGTTAAACATGTTTATAATTGCATTATTTGCAATAAATATTTTCAAATTAAATAGAAAGGGTGATTAAATACGTGAGGAATTATTTCCTTGCGCCTAACCTGTGTATCACTTCGAGAATACAGGCCTTATTTACAGTCTTAATTTTTTTCTCGTACTCGTACACATCTCGATCACAGGTACAAGTACGAGTACGAATTTTGGTACGAGCTTCCAAACACTGGGTAGGATTCTGCTCCTATCGCATACAGCCCAGGACGATACTCACAGGGTGTTGTGTATGGGCGTCAGCCCTTAAAGTGTTTACTATAAAAGCCAGCCATTAGTTAATTCCGGGTCTCTTCACCTGTCCATTCTTCCTACCACAACTTCATTGTATTTCGTCGTGTGATAAAGTATTGTTACCTTCCTCTACGTAAGCGGGGTCGTAACACAGGGCATGATTTTATTTCTTAAAAGTAATATTATAATAAATTATTTTAACAGGTCTGTATTTTTCGAAAGAGTTGAAATAGCTTTACAAGGGAGAAAATTACGTTATGTTCGCTTAATTGGCCCTGGAAGCATGCATGCTCATTCGAATCATGATTTATATGAGGAAGATAAAATTGGGAAAAAGTCTAGAGAAGCATTCCTATATTTTCCTGAAGTTTACAAAAAAAAGTTCATTAAAGGTTCGCAGATTCGAGCAGTGTATCAATTTGCAGTCCAACTTTTGGTTCGTTAATTATAATGGGAGCTTCGGAGGATATCGCCTAGATACTCATCGGACTTAAATGATAGTCCAGATGTAAAATATTCCTTCTTTCCTAAGGAAGTATCTCATCTTCCTATTCTTTAATAGAGAACAAAATCTGAGAATTAATTATTCCCACGGAATATTTAACCTCTTCAAATTCATCATCATAAATCTTCAATTACATCATCGACACCAGTAGGTGTTCCAGCAGGGATGAGACGGAACTGTCGTTACACCCAGGAATTGGGGAGTAAAATCACTCAGGAATCAAATTCCAGATCTTATTATTTATCCTTTATGTCATCACTTTCCCTTACAAAGAAGAGGCTGTGAGGGAGAGACTTTCTCCATGGGAGAGGCTGTCTCCTTTGTTAGAGGGAGTATCGCCTTTGCTATTTTTCAGTGATGTATTTATTTACTTGTCAGTTTAGCTATTAAAAATTAAATTATAGACAATTGAACATTTTGATAAAATACAAAACCCAAAAAAGAAAGAAGAAATAGACTTGAAAAATAAGGGGAAAGCCATTGCTTCATCATCTGAAACAAATGATAAACATAGCATTATTGGAACTTTCGAGGATTTGTATGTACATAAAAGTGAAAAGGAATATATTGAAGGAAAATATAAAATTAATGTTATAAATCCTTTAACTAAAAAGAATAAAAATTCGAATAATAATTTATACAAAATTCCTAAAATTGTTGAAAAAATGGAGGAGGATGAAGCAACATTAATTATAATGCTAGAATGTAACTGTTTTTAAGCATTGGGGTTTTCTAAAAAAAATACCCAGAAATTAAAAGAGACGAAAAATTGTTTCCCAAAATATTCCGGAATTTTTATCCAAAAATTTTTCTAAAAATTTTTAGGTTCGAAAAAATCAGAGTCAATTATTTTCATTATTTTCAAGCTCCGACCCTTGTAAGGTTAATTTAAAGTGGGTCAGCCACACATTAGCTACGACTTAAATGTTGTTGCACTTATCTAATTTGGGGAATTGGGCACTCGTCTTAGTATCAGTTCCCTAATTTATTAGCTGGTGCCATAACCTTCACCTTGTCGTTGGATGAATTTCCTAGCAATAAGGCTCTAAATACGCACCGATTTTAGTACAAAAATGGTAATAAGGAATGCAAGTATGCATAAATGTATTGGATGATAAAAGATACGAAGCCCGTGCGAGATTCTCTTCCTCTTCTAAATATTTTCTGTCGCAAGCTGCTCAAAGGAGACCTTATTTTTTACAGAACATACTTTAATATCCTCTCTAAAATAATTAAAATAATTATTTAAGGCTCATTGGACATGGCAACGGAAATAATAAATAGCTATAAGAAAGATAATAAGCTCAAAAACTTGATTCTTGTCGAATCTGCAATTCAACATGAATATGAACGCAATGAAGATGGACGAGGATATCTACTAAACTTTATGAAAACTAATAAACTTGAACAACTCAAAGCTTTTCCTGATTCAATATTGGCTTATAACAATTTCCTTTCTGTGGTTACATATATTTATTTTAATAAACTGGGAGTTGAAGAAATGAATAAATTGTTAGCTTCTCCAAAGGAAGAACAGGAGGAGGAAGTTAAGCAAGAAAAGGAAGAAAAGGTTAAAGATGAGATGAAGAAAGGAAAAAAGGAAGATGTTAAGGAGAAAGGAAAAGAAAAGGTTGAAGATGAAAAGAAAGGAATGGATAATAATGAGGAAAACAAGGAAGGAGTGAAGGATGTTAAGAAGGAAGATGTTAAGTTGAAAGGGAAAGAAGAGGCTAAGGAAGAGATGGGAATGGATGTAAAGAAGGATGATAAAGAGAAAACGAAGAAGGAAGATGTTAAGAAGGAAGATGTTAAGAAAGATGATGTTAAGGTAGACGATAAAGAGGAGGTTAAAGAAGAGGTTAAAGATGAGACAGAGGAAGAAAAGAAAGATGTAGGTAAAGATGAGGAGAAGAAGGAGGGTAATGAATAGAATAGTAATGAAGTTAAAAAAGAAAAGGATTAAGATGGGTAAACTTTGATAAATTATTTTAATTTTGTGAAAAATATAATTTATCTAAGATTAATTTTTCGTTGATTTTTCAACTAGTTGAATAAATATATTTAAATTTAATTATTAGGATATGAATTTTGATAATTTAATTTTATCTAAATTTAGAAAAAAAACATGATTAATTATTATTCAAGTCTTAATAATCTTGTTTCAAACTTTGTTTTGATTTTCTTTCGGTTTGGCTTACAAAAAAGCCAATTGTCTTTTAATAATCGCAATCGACATATTCAGATTAGAAATCAACTATCTCTTTTTCGATACAACCAATGCTTTTAAAATTCCATGTTTTCAAACAAAAATGCATTTTTCTAACAATTTTTCCCAGTATGACCAACAACTAAAATCACCATTCTTTTTTATCTACTGCTGCTGGAAGCCATTGTTTGAATTTCTCTGGTTTATCCACAAAATTCAAATGCTTATGGACAATAACAAAGAAATTCATTAGTAGTTACCCCCCCCCCCACAAGGTTGCACTGCGTGCAACCTTATGGAGGAGGAAGTCGGCAAATCAAAGGAAACCAAAAGGTAAAGACACATTTCATATTCCTAACCACCCTTTTTTTACCACCCCTTGGTTGCAGGGCAGTAGTTAATAATACCCAAATCGCTCCCAAATCGCTCTTCTACCCAAATAGCTCTTCCTTTTTTCAAGGTAGCTACCCAAATCGCTCACTCCTTCATCAATAAAACCTAAGCCTATAGGGGGTATTTTTTGATATTTGCCACAAACACCTTTCTTTGGGAAGTGTTTAGGGGTAATTAATCACGATTAATTAGGGTAATTAATCATTCCATTATTAATTTCCCTTTGGCTGATACTTTGTGGGGAATGAAAAAATAATTTTTGTGACGTTTCATGGTGAGACACATTTTGTTAAAAAATTTGACAATATGAAATTTGACATTTTGAAATATTTTTAGTTTTGATAGAAAAATTTAAAAGGGACTTTCTAATTTAAAAATAAATTTAAAAAATTAAATAAAAATAGTTTTAATTAAATAAAAATGATAAAAAATAAAATTTACAAAATTTTGCATAAAATATAAAATGATTTTAAAAAATGACCGGAAGTACAAATGTAAGGGGTTTATTTCAAAATGCCAAATTTAAAAATTGGCGGGCATTTCAAAATTTAAAAAATTTCCAAAAAAATTTAAAATGTCAAAAAATAATAAAAATAAATTATAAAATTTAATAAATAATTATAAATTAAAAAATGAGGGAAAAAATTTGACAAAATTCTAGAAAAAAATTAAAATGATTTTAAAAAATGAACGGAAGTCAAATGTAAGGGGCGGAGCTAATTATTTCGAAATACCAACATTAAAAATGTCAAACGATAAAATGCCAATTTTCAAAATGTCAAACGACAAAATGCAAACTTTATAAATGTCACCGACAGATTGATGATTTTAGAGCGAATAGATTTTACTAGTATCATCATTTGTCCTTGACATAAAATATTTCGTAATCGACTATCCGTCTGAAACGAAGAGTATAAAAGGCAAAGTTTTTAACATTCTTAACCATTCAACTCAAAACCAAAAATACTTTCTACAATTTAAAATTAAAAACTTTAAAATGGCATTTAATAACGATCAAACTGCACCCTCTGCCAATAAGCGCGCAAGATTTCTCATCCGTGATCTTCTTCCACATTTATTCATTGACACACAAACCGGTGCAGGCGCATTAAATTTGCAAAACTATTATCGACAAATAGACTACGATACATCATTTAATCGTAAATTTAAAATAATGGGGACAACAGGCAAGTTTATTATTGAAAAGCTACCCGAGAATCCGGAGGAACTACTGAGAAAAATAATTCACGATTGTATGGATCAAACCATCGAAGCCTCAAGAAGGCAATCAATTGAACCTGACCGATTAGGAGCTATAATATCTTCACAATTATTAGACAACGACATATGGATCCCAATTAGAAAAATTGAAAATGATACTATCGATAACATTCTCAATAGATTCCAGCTTGTTTCTCAATCTAAGATAGAAAAAGGTTCTCTTCTTGGCCAACCATTCACAGTTAAAATCCAGACACTTGGTATTTCATCATTGCCAAAGAATCAATCAATTAGAGGACGCGCACCCCAAGAAAATTCTGCAATAATTACACATATAAATATTGATCGATTAATAAAAATTTCAAACCCAAACAATTTATGTTTATTCTATGCGCTGGAAATAACAAGAAAATATTTTGCTAAAGAATTGGGCGCTAAATGGAACTTTTCAAGATATTTAAAAAATGGTGACAGACAAATGGATGATGTTTTCAACCTCCTAAAATCAGTAAAAATCCCTCATGATCTTCCTGAATATGATGCTGTGGAATATGTACCAGTTGTTGTCGATTTTTGGAATAATAAATACAAGGATGCAGGCTATAAATTTAAAGTATTTATTTTTGGAAGTATCAGTGAGAAACCTATATTCAAATATGGGAACGATAATTTTAACATGCCTATTTCAATTTTTCACAAAGATAACCATTTTGATGGAATAAGATTTGTTGGAGGTATGTTTGGGTTGAAACACAAATACTGCTTTACCTGTGAAAAAAAGTTTCGAAAGTCAAAGGAACATGATTTGAAATGTAAATCTCTCTGCAGATTATGTGGACGCGTTGGAAGTGAACGACCTTGTGTGGCAACAGGAGACTTTTACAAGAAATGTGATGAATGTGGGAAAATATATTTGAATGGAGAATGCTTCAACCATCACAAAAAGAGTAGCAATTGCCGCCAAACAAAACAGTGTGATAAATGTGGAGTAATCTGGTCAATGAAAAATTACAAGAGAGAGGCTGAAAAGAAACATGTTTGTGGTCAAAAGTGGTGTCAAATTTGTCGACAGTTTCACAACGTGGATAGAGGATGTTTTATTCGCCCCTTGGAACTGAAAAAAGGAGTTGATTATCGTCTGGTTACTTTCGATTTTGAGGCCACACAAAATGAAGTGATAAAAAATGATAATGAAGAAAGACGGCTACACAACGTAAACTTTATCGCAGCAACAGTAACTTGTACAAAATGCATGGAAAATGAACAATTATGGCGCTCACCTCTAAGGCAAAAAGGAAATAGTTGTACAATCTGCGGGAACAATCGATCCATAACATTTTCACACCGTCCATTCAATCAAACAAAAGTTGATAAGCAAATCGTCACACAAAACCCGCTTAAATTCTTCATCCAATGGGTTCTTTTTGAACTTAACCCTCAATATACAACAATGGCATTTTCACACAATGGAGGGCGTTATGATATGATTATGGTGTTCAAAGAAATATATGTAAATGGTGTTGTTCCCTCAATAATTCGTCGTGGTAATAAACTTTATGAATTGAAAATTCCCCGCAACAATAAATGCAATGAGGTTATATTCCGGGACTCGTATAACCTTTGTCCAGTCGCTCTGGGGAAGCTAATTGGTGCATTTGGGCTACAAGTAACTGAAAAACAATTTTTCCCGCATTTGGCAAACATCTCTGAAAATTATGGTAGAACTCTACAACAATTACCCCCGAAATCTGATTACTTATATGGAGGAATGCCCCCTCAAAAGCAAAACGAATTTGATAAATGGTATGAAGTAGAAAAAAATAATCAATTTTGTTTGGATGAGGCTTTGGCTGAATATTGCACAAACGATGTACAAATACTTACAGAAGCATTGATCGCCTTTAGAAAAAAATTTTCGGAGATCAGCAAAAAGAAAACTACACGACCTGGAGCAGTAGTTGAAGGAATCGATATTTTGAAGGATGCAATGACAATCGCATCGGCATGCATGAAACATTTCCGACTCAATCATCTGCAGCCTGAACATTTGGCAATTGTTCCCGAAAAGGGATATGAAAATATTGATAATCAAAGTGAGCTTGCCCTGAAATATTTACAATGGTATGAAGAAACAAAAGGAGTGGAAATACAAAGTGCACATTCGGAAGGTGGCGAACATGTAGTAGATGGAAAATATAAAGTAGATGGATATATAGCGGCAGAAGATAGGGCAATTGAAGTAAATGGCTGTGTTTGGCATGCATGCCAAAAATGCTTTGGAGATGATTTGAACAAAATATTGCCCAATGGAAAAACTGTGGGAGAGACACGTGAAGATGATGGGAAAAGGATGGAAATAGTTAGAAAATATATAAAGAATGTTGATATTATATGGGAATGTGAAATTCATCAGATGCTTCGTCGCAATCAGAAAATGAGGAAAGCTTTTTCAAATTACCACAACAAAGGACCAATCAATATTAGAGACTGCTATTTTGGCGGGAGGACTGGACCACTACACATGCATTTTGACGCAGAAAAAGAACAACACAAAATTGCCTACTTAGACTTTAATTCACTTTACCCCTCAACAATTGCTACAACATCATTTCCGGTTGGGCATCCGAAAGTGCATGTTGTACCATTGGCTGAACAAAAAGTTTATTGGACAAGAAGTGAGCAGATTCCGTTCAAAGGAATTTTAAAAGTATTTTTGCTACCACCGCCTCAACTGGATGTTCCTGTAATTCCAGTTAAGTTTGACGAAAGACTTCTATTCCCACTATGTAGAAAATGTGCACTCATGTACCCAAATGGCGCGAATATCAAAGATTACCATTGCCCGCACAATGATGAGGAGAGAGGTTGGGTCTCTACATGTACATCACTTGAATTGGAAGAGGCATTAAAAGTTGGATACACAGTTACAAGATTTTATAGAGCTTTACATTATGAGAAATGGGATGAAAATTTATTTAAAAATTATGTGGCCGAATTTATGGCAATGAAAATACACGCAAGCGGGTTCCCTGAAGGAATAGAAGGAAAAGAAAATGAGGAAAATTTTATAAAAGAATGTAAAGAAAAATTTGGAATTGAACTTCAAAGAGAAAAAATGGTTCCGGATCAGGCAATGCGCTACATTTCAAAATTAATGCTTAATTCGTTATGGGGAAGGTT